AGCTTTATTCTCTTAAATATTTTGTAAGCAACACAGAGTATGATTGTTGGTGTCAGGGCAGTATCATTGAAAAGTATGGTCCATTGTAAGATCTGTAGGAGGTGAGTCATTGAATCAACAGTCTACTGTTGCTAAGGCCACCAATGAGAAAGATGGAGTAAACTGCCTCTCTGTCAACATATTTCCCTCCCTTATACCCTGCAGCCTGTGGATCTTTGTGCATATACATAAATTCATGAAACTGTGAAGCATCGATTGCTTATGGAATTTTATGAAAATCAGGAAATTTGTTGATTACTATCTGTTAAGTATATGTAATTTCATGTTCGTGTTTATTGTGGTTTGCAGGGTGCTTTCGCCTATTCTAGTAGATCATGTGGTTTTTATGCTAACTTGCTCACTTTAATGTATTTGCTTCCTGCATTCATGTATTCATACAAGCCAAGATGGCCATTGTAAGCATATTTTAAACCCAGAGTAATTAAAAAAAGAAACTTATCCAATAAGATTATATCTGTGTATTTATCGCTCAGATATCCATATCTGCTTCTGGTTCTGCCTCTGAATCTCTGTTTGCAGCAGCATAAGCAGAAGAGTGGCTTTTTCTAGAGAGATTTGAAGAGCTATTTATAGATCTCTGCCAAAGCACCAAGCGTGGTGCTGTTGCTGCTGCTCCTATCTGTCTCTGCTCTTAACCGCTCCTGCTTCTGTTTCTCTCCATCTTCATTTGTTCCCCCTTCACCTGTTCTTAGTTTTCTGAACTCATTTTCTCATGATGTCTTCTACACTAAGTGTTTGTCAGTCTTCTTTTTCCATTACTGTCCTCCATTGCTTGCTTTGATGTAAATTATCGATCAAAGCAGAAGGGAGGTGACATGGTTATAAGTCAGGCCTCAGATTGGTACATCAGCTTGACTAACTTTAGTATACTTTATTGCAAAGCTGGATGTTTTTTTGCATTTGTTAGTAGCCTTTATTTAGTAAAAGATATGGCTCACAGTCCTCAGACCATGCAGAATCACAGTAGATAAGGTGGGTTTGCCTAAATAAAGGTGTTTTAGTAAAAACTTGTTATGACTGCTTTGAATATTTGCAGTGTAAATAACAACAGCTTTCCAAGTGTTTCATAATAGCTTTAGCTTAGCTATGCTGCATGCAGAAATGGCAGCATCTTGTAAGGTGGTTGTGTTCCCACTCAGTCTATCTGTGGTATCTTTGGCTACTGATCCTCACTCAGCCCCTCCCCTTTCTTCTTCCTTCTTTCTAAGCCCTTCTCTTACTGATCTGTGAAAGAAGCTACCTGGCTGAAGAAGTGACAGGACAGGTTATGAGGCATTAGTCCATGCAATGCATTTTATCCCAGTCATGTTGTTAGCCTGAGACGAACCTTTTTTCAAGGCCATGCTAGGATTGTAGAATCATTGGTTGGGTAAGTCTGGTGTCTTAAATTAAGCAATGCTAGAAAAGAAGTTTGATGCTAAACAGCTGTTTATTAAATTTCTCTGGCTGCTTATGTTTTGCAGGGCCCTCTCAAATGTTAGGTGATGCTACTAACCACTGAGCCACAGTACTGATCTTCTGCTCAGTGTTTCGACTTTAAAGGGAAATTTATTGTACAGTTAAATGCATAAGTGTATGTGCTATGGCACAATGTTTGTAATTTTTCCTCTTTACACCACCACAGTGGATTTTAAATCAGATAGTCAAGATGTAAGTGAAGTGCAAACTTTTATTGTCACTACAAGGGGTTTAACAAACACATTGCATTAATTGTTTGGAATGTTTTAGCGTTTTTCATAATAATACATTTTCAGAGGCTCAAAAGTGACTGGACTAACACCATTTGAAATATAAAAATGATCATTTTAAATACCTGGGCAAAGATAACGTGATTGTAGTGACTGCCTGAAGTCAAAAACCCCTGGACACCACTAAATCTCACTTGAGATGCTCTGCCAGCCTGTTCTGCAGCCACCTTTAGTTGCTGCTTGTTTGTGGGTTTTTCTGCCTTCAGGTTTATCTTCAGTAGGTGAAAAGCATGCTTTAAGTTGAGATCAGGTGGCTGGCTTGGCCACTGAAGAAACTCTTAGGTTGCATTTGTACCGTAGTCTGTTGTAATTCATTATCCATTCACTCCGTGGAGTGATGTTCAGTTTTGTAGGATTTGAATCTGAGCAGAGACTATAGCCTTGTACACTTAGTTCATCCTCCTACTACTACTTTTATCATCATCAATAAACACTAGTGGACCGGTTCCACTGGCAACCATACATGCTCATGCCAGATTTGACAGATAATATGGCATGCTAAGGTAGGGCTGTTCAATATAACGATATATATCGGATGACGATATAAAAACGTCTATCGTTTCATTTTACGCTATCGTTTGTTTCGTGGTGTCGCAAAATAAACTGTTTACGGCAATATTTTCTCATTGTTTTGATGGTCACTGTAGTGGCTATATTAATTTATTAAAGTTCTCTCTTTCTCTTATATTTAATGTAACCACACAACAGTCGGACAAGTGCCTGTTTTTATGCGTTGTCGTTAGCAACAACGACGGTAAAACCATCGCATGTCCGCTTGTTTATTTTCCACATAAACCTTTCATAATAAAGCTCAAGATCCTGTTGAGAATTTTCAAAATAAACTGAATCACGTGAAAAAGTATGCAGAGTATTTACGGATGAAAAGCAAAAAGGAGCCGTCAGGTGTTAAAAAATAAACCTTAGACTCAAATGTTAGAACAGGCTTTCCCCGCAGCACGCTGTGTAATAAATACTCACAAAGGAAACAGCAGCCGATACAACCTATGTCTAAAAATGTGTAGTTTCATGCATCGGTTAAAACACTCAACTCCAGGTACACGACCACCTGGAAACACTTCAGCAACCCGAGATTCACAGAATTGACAGAAAATGTTAAATTTTTGTGATTTATATCGTTATCGGATGATAGATGTTTTATATCGGGATAAGAGATTTTAGTCATATCTAACAGCCCTATGCTAAGGATCATAAGTCATTCATTACCTTTTCAGTTTGTCTTCCCATCATTATAGCGCAAGCTGTGCTTGATTTATTTTATCTGTCCAAATATTTTTTTCCCCCCAGATCTGGGCAGGTTATATGTTCAGGTTTTAGATGTTTTCTGGCAAAATGTATTCTAGCTTTCTTGTTGTTGAGTGTAATCCATGTATTGCACAACTGCTGTAAACCCTCTGTATTTAAATACCCTGTGTATCTCTTTTAAACTCTGACAGTGATACCTCTTTGAATATGCTTGAGTTAGGTAAATGTTGTGAAAGATATTTCTTAACCATGGAAAGAATTCTGCGATTATTTACTTCAGTTGGTTTCCACCCTTTAAGGGCGTTTCTGGTGTTCCTGAGCTGGTCAGTGATTTCTGCTGATTTTGCCATTTCTCAGTTATTCTGTCTCTCATGGACAGGTTTATTTATTTTTGTACCTTAATTGACAGTATGTGACCAAATACCTCGTATTAAGAGTGAACAGTGAATAGTTATTATATGCACTTGAAAATAATCTCAGATTTTTGATGCTGAATTTGTCATCGCAAAATGAGGGAACAGACTTCACCTGGCCATGAATCTGCATGTTAGTCAGTTGTCTAATTACTTTTGTGTCTTTGCAGAGGTGGCACTATGTATATCGTCAGCCTTAAAGCTGAACTCTGCACTGAAATCACATTTTGATAGTTTGATTTAAATTATGAAATAATAAATGAAATAAATATCGAGGATTGATGTGAGTCTAGATATATATTTGAACATAAACTGCCCTCTCCCAAAGCAGGAGAAAAGCATTACAGAACAACCTAATAATTACTACATGTACTATAAAAGTAACAAAGCTCAGAGTACTCAAGTTGCTGTTGGAGGGTTGTTTCTCTGTTTCTGCGTGAACTTGTAGTACTGTAACTCTTTACCTGAAAGGCTACTAGAAGTAATCCTTGAAGCTATTTTCTGAACTGAGTGCTTTCTGTCATATTTCATGCCTGATCACAGAACAAAACAACTGGGTTTGCATCAGAAGTCAGTAAGGGTGGTCTCTGCCTACGCAGCTACACCTGGAAAAAACATAGAAATTGTTCTAATGGTCATCAAACCACATCTTATGGATATATATGCTGATGTGTCAGTGATATCAAGGGTCCAGAGGAGGTTGCATTTATAAGAGGAAATGGTTAAAACAGTTTTGTTCTATTTGAATAAAAGATTGGACACTTTGTTTTCTCAAAGATTTCTCAGTAAATCTTTGAGAAAACAAGATTTACTGAGACTTTTAGCTGACTAGAAATGTAACACTGATCTGTGAAACTGGTAAAAATGATATTCTGATATGCATTTAAACAGGCCTATATGTCAATTGCATGCAAGTATCCATGATGGACGGGGGTAGAACTCCCCACAAAACAATGTGCACCATTTTTCTTCTTCTTTTTCTTCGACTTCTTCATCTTCAACTTCTTGAAGTCCAATCCTATGACGTGCATCTTTTAGTAGAGTCTGTTTTAAATAGTTTTTTACTTGCCTTTATGAAATCTTCTCTTAATTGTAGACTTAATATTAATGATCGACTTATCTCCTGGATTGTGTTATAACTTGCATGAAGTGAAACTTGGTGAAGCTGTTGGTATTTCTCATGCAAAGAACCCTGCAGCCATCTAAAACCTGAAATCGTGTGTAGACATCGAGGCCTTTTTATGTTGCACTATGTTCTTGTTTTTTACCTTTAAATTTTTAATTTTTTAGCAAACTAAGGATGTGCAGTCTAACTTGCATCGCGTGCTCCTTTGTCTGCAAGTTGTGAGTTGATATTCAAATGACTTTCGACTAATGATTGAACAATCAAAGCCTTATCTTTTTTTCACAGCTGCATGAATACAATTTCTAGAGGGACCACAGTCTAACACTTTTCTTTAAATTTTGCTCTATAAAGCCTGGTCACATACTGTCAAGCCAGAAACCATGAGACAGATAATCCTCCTAATGTTTTCCTTGATGCTGAACTTTTGACTGCATAATTTCCCTCCACTGCATCTTTCAGCTGTCATTTGCAGTGGGGGCTACTGGGAAAACATGCAAATGTGTTGTCTTGTTGCATTAAGGCTTATCCTTGCTAATGAGGTGGTTTCATTATTTCACTCCATCTTCCCTTCCTCCTCTTTATTTTTTTTTAAATTGTTTATATATTGGAGCAGTTGTCTGGTTCACCAGCATCTGTCAGTACTCATTTAGTTTGTCCAGACAAAGGCCAAAGAAAACGACTTAAGACTTTCCATATAATGAGTGATGAATGGGGACTGTGGCTTCTGCCTGTCTCCAGGTGTTTGATTATTGCAAAAAAAGTTCCAAACCTTAACCTGTACCTGTAAAAGAGTCTATTTATTTATATTAATTCATTTACTATAAGCTTTCAGTGGTGCTACTGTTGTATCAAGTGACATTATAGCGGATCCAAGCAACTCTTTAAACAGCTTGGCTTCTTGCGCGCCATGGTTTGCCTGTCATTGCAATTATATTGTTTCACAAAGACAGAGAGCAAACAAGACCTGTAAGAGAGAGAGAGAGACAGAATCCACACGAAAGGGAGGGTCGGAGGAGAAGGGAGGGGTGCACACTGTGCGCATGATGGCATAAGCGTGGTAGTGAGAGAGGGAGCCAGCTTACAAGCAAGATTTTCTTTCTCACTGCTGTGCTTGTGCTTCATTCAGAAAAAGAAAGGGGGCAGTCGAAATAGAGTTTTTTGACCGTTTTCATGAAAGCCATTAAGAAAACTGAGCTGGTAGTGTGTACAGACAAGAAGACAACACGGCAAGCTTGAAGACGACAAAAGTTGAACGAGCTGAAGAGACGGAAGAAAGACCTTAAACACCCTACAACTCCAGCAGGAAATGGGATACATTTATTTGTAGTAATAGGGGAGAGAAAACTAATGACAGCGTTGCCCAGATCTGCTTCTGCTGCTCATTCTCCTGCGATGATTTGGTTTTATCTGAGACACCTGATCTGATTTGGCGCGAGATCCATAGAGCTGAACTCTAAATACAGGAAGGATGTGCACTGTAAGTGAATGTGCTTGTGTGTCTTTGTCATTGGGTGTTAATAATTTGTAGGTGAGATGTAGCTTCTGTAGCTGTAGGTGTGATTTTTAGCATGAAGCCATTGCTGCTGCTATAATTAACTCTTGTTATAACACATTGCATTATCACTTTTGTGAAGTTCCTAAAGCATTTTTAAGCAATGTCTCATCAACAGTGCAAATATGATGTATTAAGGTTGACTGAAAGGTAGTTTCCTCTAGTGTGTATACAGTTTATTTTATCACATGTGATTGCATTTGCACAGAAAAAATGTATACATGAAAGCATCTAAGATACTATAATGTGTGGCGTATTTACCAGTGTCATGTGTACAGGGTCATGAAACATGTTTGAGGCAAATGCTGAGGTAATAAGGAATTCCCTTTCACTGTCCCTGTGTGGGAGGAGGGACAGAGGAGGGTGGAGGTGGGCTGGTGGTGTGGAGAGTCACTGAAGTAGGCGTTGCTCTGCAACACTGTCATACTGATTGTGAGGGAGGGAGGTGTGCAGAGGAAAAGGACAACGTATGGGCTTACATAAGGCATGTGGATTGCACTGTATTTTAAGCAATAGTGGTTGTGACTGTTTGTGAATGCACCTGGAATTTAAGACGTCTCCTCCTTTATTTGTGGAACACAGTGTGCGGGAATGAACAGACTAGAGAGGAGGTGCGAGAGAGGCAGCACAGCCGTGAGAGATGCACAACAGCAGAACCCTCTTGAATAAAAAATCTGCCACTATAAATAGCAAGCCATCCTCATGGCTTGAGCACTGCTTCAGGTTTAGAAGACCTGGCTTTCCCTCTCCATCGCTGTTCTGGTGGTTATAACCCTGAAAAATCAACCCACAATCCTCCTCATTTCCTGCTTTTATTCTATTTTTTTGATTGCTTGCCCCAGATCTCCCTTGTTCTGAACATGGCCTGTTTATATAATTCATTTTTATGTACACACATCCATCTCTTTTAGTCTCCTAAGTAATGCATCTTATTGAATTAGCTTGATGTACATAATATGGCAACGAGCCCATCATTGTACCCTGTTCTCAGTTAGAAATTGAAAAGACAGACAACTACCACAGCTCCAGATTAAATATAAAATGCTCCTTTGGTGTTATGTTGCTAGAGCTATTGCTGTTTTTCTTTTGCTGTTTATTAACATGTGAGTCTCTTCTCTTGTAACACAACACAGATAGCTGAAGTCAGGTGATTAGCGTTGACTGAGCTAATAAAGTCCATCCCCTCACTTGATAAAAATATGTGTGCATCCTTGCATGACCAGTGCTTTTGCTGTTTGTTTGTGATATTGGAGTTCTTCTCCTTACGTAGTTGGTGCACCTATAGCCTCACTGCTGCATACTAATTGTTAATGCGTGGGAAAAAGCCTGTGTATCAAACGGAGGAAGCACGAGAGGGCGAGAAAGAGAGGGGAAAAAAAATCAATAGCAAACCCCTGAGAAACTGCTGCTGTAATTGCTTTATACGTCAGAAGGTTCACACCTACTCCTTTGAGACTTTAAGAAAAATCTAACTCCAAAACTTTTATTTTGAATTCAGTCTTTGTTACAGGAAAAAAGAAAACCAAATCATCAAAAACAAACAATAAGGAAGCACTGATTGAATTCTATTTATCTGATTTCACACTTTCCCTACTCATCTGAACTTTTACAATGTTTTGTTTTTTTTGATGTGTCCTCATTTGAGCTAATTATAGTATTAATACATGCTAATTTATGTGTGACCTTTTATAAATACATCAGTTCTTTTCTGATGAATTGACATCTGCATTACAAATTAATGTACCTGACACAAAGCATAACTTTAATAAAGGTAGATGGCTAACAGGAGCTAAAAGGAAGAAGGGTCAGTAAAATCCAACTGCAATTATTTGAGCTGTAGAGAGCTATAGAGACAACTTGTGCTTTACTGTGGGGCTTATATGTTCGAATAAAATGACTATGTGGCTCAAGGTAGGTCAGCTCAACCTTGTATCTACTTTATCCTCAGATGAGCCTGGGACAGACGTGTGCCCACTTGGTGAATTTTAATGAAGAGACAACTAAAAGAAAGCGAAATATGACAGCAGGAGTCCTCTAAAGACGAGAGGTGTTGTATTTAAACAAGACAAGTTCAGGAGTGCTTCTAAACTTAGTGTATTAAATAGCCTCAAAAATAACTTGCATAATTAGGCGATGATGAACACAGGAGCAGAGAGGCAAGCAAAACTGTAAGAAGAAGGGAACAGAAATTGGTATCCTTATGCTGGCAGAGCTATTGGGAGCAGTTGGCTTTTACAGGTAAACAGATGGCATGGCACAGCACAGCACACTGATGACCTGCCACCGCTGTCAGGTCAGCTACGTGATCTAGTGAGCCGCTGCAGTGTGCAGTTTCTCTAATTAACTGTACTTTCTGATCTGTGCTGAGGCTGGTGCGTTGCCAGTGTCATGCTAACATTCTCACAGCTGAGGAGAAATTGTCTTTAGAATTCACCATATCAACACATTTCATATCAGGAAATGTCCAGAATTTATCAACTGGAATTTGGTGACTAATTGGTATCAGTGATTAACTTATGGCTTGTTAATTATTGATGGACATTAAAAAAAACAGTCAAACAAAAAAAACAACATTCAGATGTGTTGCGGTCCCTCCTTAAAGCAGTGTCATTTGAGACACTTAATTTATCAATACTAAGAGAACTAATATTATATTTCCTTTTGTAAATAGGTTTATATTTTGTCCTTATTAGCATGGTTGTGAAGTCGTTGTTTTTACCATGGTGGCTTTAGACAAGTCTGTTGACTAGTCAGATTCTGTGTTACTGACTTCTGACCATTAGAAGCTGCTTTAGCATGCAGTAATGGGTGTGTTTGCTGATTGTCCCTTGGTATTGCTTAAATTGTATTACATCAGATCCTCTTTTCCATCTAAGACAGCGGTCCCCAACCTTTTTTTGTGCCACGGACCGGTTTATGCCCAACAATACTTTCATTGACCGGCCTTTAAGGTGTCGCGGATAAATACAACAAAATAAAACTAGTACCGGTACCGAAAAAAAGAAGATTTATTCATAACACACGTGAAAAGACCAAGGAAAACCGAGTAAACGATAACAACGATAACAAAATAACGCTGAAAACTGATAAAAAAAACCCTGAAAACTATACATTTCACACCTGAGCCTCAACTCTCGCAGCCCGGTACCAAACGACTCACGGACCGGTACCGGTCCGAGGCCCGGGGTTTGGGGACCACTGATCTAAGACATAGGTCATCAGTTAACTCGTATGTTGTCTCATAAAATGTTACCTGGTTAATACCAAACTCAGATTTTCAAATACTAACAGAGTCTGGGAGCTGAGCGTCAGACTGCAGAGAGCAGCTGTAGCTTTTAACACCCCAAACGTTCAGGAGCAGCAGGACTCTTATTACACATGCTTCCAAAAAACATTAAAAATAAAGTGATGAAGTGTATCGTGGCGCTCTCTGCTCGGTGTATAAATATGCTCGTGGTTAGTAAGCACTGACAGACAATGCTTTTGGACATCTATTCCACCTGACCAGCTGTTTCCAGTAGCAGCTGGACCAACTACAGTCAGAAAGTATTACCAATATATCAGTGCTGAACTGTTGTCCCTTCTAAAGATAATAGTAAATTAATGTGAAACACTGTAGCTTGTTTGCTCTGTTAAGTATTTTGGGTTTTGTTGGCGCAATCATAGAATAGCAGTTTTTAATGAAATTTTTGGCTATTTGAGTTAAAGTAAACACGGCAGTGTTGAATTATATCTGAATGTCAGATTAGTTGAACTCACGATCACATAATTGTCATAATTGTTGTCTGCATATATATCTATGTAAACTTTATGCTCTGATTTTGTTCTGAAAGTTTTGGAAGTTACTGTAATTTTGTTTGTCATGCATGGACATGGGTTATTGTTATTTGGAAGTATTTTCTTTAAGTAAAGTTCTGTAGACATAAATGTACCCCTGCACCATGTTGACAGGAAGGTCATGCTGTGGACAGCAGCAAAAATTATAGCCACCTAAAAGACATCACTATCGGTTTACATGTATGATGTATTAAGAAGCTTTTATCCCCATAACCTGCTGGTTGATGGTTAAGTCAAAGCTGGTACATTTCAGAAGTTTGCGACTATAATATTTTAATAGGCTACTTCAGACCTGAACTAAGTTGCCATCCAAACTAAATTAAAAAATCAAAGAAAACAGGGCAGCATTAGGGCAGGGCAATATGGCCAAAAATATTTATCACGATATATATTTGAAAATTTGCGATAACGATGTAATTGACACGAGACAAAATACTTTACAACTCCACAACTTTATTAGTGCAAAAAACCCATTAAACTTATATAAAATTTTAACAGTGCAAATGTAAATTCCTTGCTGACAATTTAACCAAAAGGCATTTCCAGTGGAAATTGGCCAACATATCCTGAGCATAACCATGTTTAATATCCACAAAAAAAGAGGTTATACACACACAATGCAGTAATATTATGTTGAAGCACAGTACGTATCACTCCGCGAGGCTCCTGTCTACGGTAGCCGCAGTGCTCCGACAAGCCATCAAGCGGTGCGGGTTTGTAGCTTAGCAAAGTCGTACTAAAACATTTTTGACAGAAGTTTGAGCGCCATGTACCACATAAAATCAGTTCGGTAATAACGATGGCTCGCTTGCATGCGCTGCCAAAAAAATGTGCTTCGGTGTGTATCTGACGGACGAAAGCCGAACCAGTTCCACACCACTGAAGTATGGCGTTATTTTTGTGCCACTATTCTAATGAAAACATTAGAGCATTTATGCAAATATGTGATGTCTTGATAAATCAATTACACAGCACCATTCTTGCATGAAAATATCTCAAAAGTTTATTTTGTGACCCAGAAAGAGTAATATTTCAAACTCCGCCACTCTGTGTTCCTCCGCCACTGCCTCGTTTGAGTTTTGGACGAA